CGTCAGGGGCTTCCTTCCCCAGCCTCACTTTCTCCATCTGCCCTAGACATATTATCCCCTCCCTGGGCTCCTGTGGGATTGTTAGGAGGATGCATGAGGCCAGAAAGTCTGGATGGCCATCTAGACACAGCCTCCTGGTGTGAGGAACCACCATACCACAGTGGTTCCCACCTCAGGTCAGAGTGGTCATTGCTGTGCTGTGGGCGGGAGCAGCCTGGCTCTCCACTGCAGACCTCAGGATGTCCTGATTTCCCTAAGTGCCTGAGGACACTGAGCCCCCATTGGGATCTGGTGCTGTGGTGGGTGGGCCCTACAAATCCACCTCTCTGGCCTGGGTATTGGTCTGGTTTTCTGCTCTCTGTCAGGGACCAACACAGGGGGCTCTATATGACCCTATAACCATCACAGATTAGAGCTGCCCCCCCCCCCACTCCTTCTCTTCCTGCTTGGTCTTCTTGTTCTTCGAGGTCACCCCAGCCCTTGGGGCCTTCACTCCTTGTCCCACCTTGGCAATTCTGAGTTTGGGTTGCTAACTGGAGCTTAGTCCCAGATCTGTCTCTGAAACACTGCAATGGGAAGGGAGACCTCGAAAAGTTCAAATCCTGGCTCTACCACATGTCCAGGGTGACCCTAGGAGACACCTTTCCTGTGGGGCCTCAGCTTCCTGCCAGAACTGGGCCATCCTCTTGGGTCCCCCATGCCCCTTCTCTAATGGACTCTGCTCTCTCCTGGGCCCCTCAGCAGCTGGCCGCCTCTGGACATGGGCATTAAGTCCAACCGGAAATCCTTCCTGTCCAGGGGGAATTACTGGTGTTCACAGCTCCACCAGGCAGGAGATGTCGAAATTCAGGCTGTTTGTGTTAGGTTTGTTTTCTGGGAAAACAAAACACACAGGCGCATGCACAGGGAGGCACGCACTCAAGAGGATCCCACCACAGCTCGGAAGCCTCAGGCTGGGCAGGCCATGCCTGAGGTGAGCAAATGGGATCCTGGGTTCGAGGCCTGGCCCCCCTCACTCTCCTGTGTGATCCCTAGCAGGATGTTTATGCCTGAGCCACAGACAACGGAAGCAAGAGGTCACCCCTGAGCCAGGCTGTCCTGGGTGCCCAGCAGTATGGGGGTCTCTCCTTCACTGAGTTTTTATCTCATAGAAGTGGATGAGGGGGATGGCGACGTCACACAGCTGGGACAGGCAGGGCTGGCCTGGCAGGAACCCTGCAGAGGTCTCAGCACTCTTGGACAGAGACAGGCTCAGTGTCCTGGGCACTGTATCCCTCTTAGGGCTCTGGAGGGTCCCCTGCCTGACAGAGAGCCTGGTGTGGAGTCTCCTCCTCTCTCTGGTGTCTAGGGCACCCTCTGCACTCACACACTTGGCTGGACTGGCAACTTCTACTTTGGGGCCTCCTCCAGCCCTGCCTGCCTTGTGTGCCCTGAGAGAGGACAGTGGATGGGAATCCTCTTTATGCCAATAAACAGGAAAAGTCTTGGTGGCCTCTGCACCCCAAATCAGACAAGGGCTCCTGCTTCCAGAGTCAGGAACCTGTTCCAGCCTGTCTCACCTGCTCCTGCATCCCTGTTCCCTGACCCCAAAGATTTGCATTTTGTTTCCTCTGCTCCATTTCATAGTCTGCAGTCAGGAAGCCTGGGCTTGTCCACAGACCTCTGCTTTCACCTGTATAGGATTTAAATGTTTTGTCAACTAGTTGCCAAAACTTAAAACTTGGAAAATTTCACATGTCAAGTGGGATTTCCAGTTCTCTCCCCTCCCTCCCCACCTGTAGCACTATTCTTAGATTGCCAAAATTAGCTGGTCTGGGGGCTGGAACCCCATGCCCATGGGCCTCCTTGATGACACCACCATCAGCCCCATGCAACCTCGAGGGACTGCCACAAATCCAGTGTGGCTCAGCCTTGGAGGCCCAGTGTGCTAGTCTGGAGGGTCTTGTGAACCTGAGGACAGCCCAGGCAGATTTCTCAGCATCTCTGTGATGGGGCCAGAGCATTGGCATGTTTAAAGTCCCCCCATAGGCGACCCCCCCCCCACACACACACACAGGTTACTCTGGTGAGTGGCAAGGTTGGGAAGGACAAGAGCACTGATCCTGGGTGAGAGGGCTTTGCAGACAGACACCTGGCTTCTGATGGTCCTGCTCCTCTGTGGCTCCGGTCTGGGACACTCTACCAGGGCCCCACTTGTGTGAGTCCTGCCCAGTGCTGGCCTCGCTCCTGGAGGAACTCACTGTTCCCTCTCCCCTGGACACTTCATTGGTTCAGGGTGTGATGCCCAGTGCCAGGGGGCTCAAACTCCCATCTCAGACGAGAGGATCAAGTGTGAGCAGCCGCAGTGGGGCCCAGGGCTGCCATGCCCGTGGCAGATTCGCTCCTATATATGGTTACCCGGGAGTCCCGTGGCTGAGCTAACGTGTGACCTAATCTGCTGACAATCTCTCCCAGTCTGGGGCCTGACTTGGGGAGAGCCTCACCCTGGAGAGCGTCCACTTGGTGGCAGAGGGGTTGGGAGGAGGCAGGTCAGTGGCGTGGAGGCAGGGCAAGCACAAGTTGGAGGGCGGCCCCAAGTCCCTCTGGCTGGGCTGTGTCGTCCAGCTTCCTCCCTGTGCTCTGTGTAAACAAGGAAACCCCCAGCCTCTTTGCTTTCCAAAATCCTTTTAATACAGCGCGGAAGGCTACATTTCCTTAGGCAAGCCGTACAGTCTCCAGGAGTAAGGCACACAACGGAATGCCACCCCGCGGGCGGCCCCGGGGGAAGCGGGGGGCTGGCCCTCGCGCCCTCGAGCCAGGCCCACGGGTTCTGTTTGTCTTCTTAGCTGGACACACACACACACACACATGAACAGACACAGACACGGACAGGGTCACCATCTGGGGGGTGGAGGAGGTCCAACAGTGAGTTTGGCCATGAGAGCAAAGATCCCCGCTGCCACCAGCCTCCCAGCCCCAGGGTCGCGGAGCTCAGCCACCTCTTTGGAGGCTGGAACACCCCACAATTCAGGGTTAGTTGTTGCACTGGGCTAGAATGTAGTGAGGCTGGATTAAATATTTGTTTAGAGTAGATTCAAGTTGATTAGATGCTGGAGGGCAGGCGTAATGGCTCCGTTGACATTTCCAAGTTCAAAGAGCTTGGGGCGAGACCCGGCTCAGATGAGAAAGCTCCAGAGAGGGGCCTTGGGGACTCTTGCTTGCTTTTTCCTCTTCCCTCCTTGGGCACTGCGGACCGGGCCAAGGGGTGGCAGACCCTGGAGGGGCTAGGTCATCAAATGCTTCCCTCTTCCCCTGTCCATTCCCCGCGCTGCCCATGAAATTAATCAAACTGTAATGACAAGCTCCTAGCAAGGAGGTGTGGGAAGAGAGATTACAACTCTGTGCTTGTTATCCTCAGCGGAAGAGGCACAAAGGGGTCACGGTTCCCTTTTTCGATATGTATCTAATAATAGCTCCCCTTAAAAAAGGGAATACTTTCCAAAATACACATACGTATAAATACAGGACAAGAACATATTAATAAGTCTAAACATTTGAATAATATGCTGGCTACTTAATACTGATATTTTCATCCATGGAAAACAATAACAGAATAACAATAACATGGCTTAGAGAATTGCAAAGATTTTTTTTTCTCATCAGAATTATGTACCAACTTCATATAATATTCTATGTAGACAATATTTCCTTCTTAATGTAGTTCAGTTGCATACTTTTTACAGGACAAAAGCATAGTAAAAAAAAAAAAAAATCCAAAACCATAACAGGAAAAAGAAAAAAGAAAACTTCTCACCATAAATATTTTCTTGCTGCTCAACCAGAAGGTTTGCAAAATACTTCCAGAAATCTTTCTTTGATATTCTATTGCCCTCCTGAAAGCTCTGAAATTTTGAAAATGCCTCTCTCTCTCTCTCTCTTTTTTTTTTTTTGTCTCAAAAAAATCCGGCAAACATATTTTTCTTTTCTTTTTCTTTTTTCTTTTTTTTTTTTTTTTTTAAAAAAGGCCCTCAAATATATACAGACAAAAATCACTGTGAAGATTTTTCGGGAAAAGCTACCAAATTCAGTGTTGTGAGAAAAACTGGTAACTGTGCAGAAATTTTAACATCTATGAGTTTTTTTTTTTCCAAAATACACACATAGTATTTTTGTTTTTTAAAAAAAGGAATTCTGTGTCAAGTATAATGCAAAATAAATACAAATTCACAAGTAGAGCTATCAAATACTTCATGGGGGGTAAACACCATTATCTCCCAACTAGATCGCTAGATCTACTGACTGCAAGCGGTTGTCCCTTTTGAACATACTAAAACCACAACACTTTCTTGTCTCCTGGGCTCCCAGGTCCACTGAGCACTTAATTCTCACAGCACTGGCCCAGACAGCAGTGTCTCCTGCTGACCTCGAAGAGCCTCCAAGGGCCACCCAGGAGGGATAGCCCAGCCCCTGCTGCACAGATGTCAGGACAATGGCCGCCAAAAAGGCCACTATGGGGTGAGAGGCCATCTCTTGCTGGCTCTGGCCTCCTGTGCTCTGGAATATCCCGGTTCTTTTAAGGGTGTGGGCTTCCCTACCTTTGCAGCCCAGTTGGCAGGCCCCAGGCATCCTTGGGCCAACGGTCCCCATGTCTGGCATGCCCTCACAGTGGAGGTTAGCATACTGCCACCATGGCAAAGTTTCTCTTTGGAGGCCCAGTAGGATGACTGACAGCAACAGCTTTTCCTTGGGGACAAAAGCTTTGGGCCAAGGCCACCCAGGTCACCCAAACAAGGCCCCTACACTCAGCAGGGAGGGAGCTCAAAGACGGCTCTTAAGTGCTCAGAGGATATGGCCCCCAAACCTTCCCTGCAGCCAGCGGGCTGCAGACACTCTCCATCTCGTCCACTTGCTCCCTGGACCCCTGGTTAACACTTCACTGTAACTCTTCAGTTGCACAAAGCATTTTCATTTGAAAACAAAACGTGGTAAACACTGAATTTCAGGCCCATTTCATGGTCTGATTTTTGTTTTTTTCCCACAGAGGCAAAATGTTGGGGCAAAATCAAGCGACCCAGTCCTGGCAGCCAGTTCTCTCCCTCCCCCCTGTGGCGGGGGCGGAGAGGACAATAGGAATGGGGCTTCTCACTGGGGAGAGAGGAGGCGCCCTCCTGCCTGCCAGAACGGTGGTCTCCCTGACCATGTGATGTGCCAAGAGGCCTCTCTGATCCCTTGGGAGGTAGGCAATCATTGTCCCCTTTTTCCAAATGAGAGGTTCTGTGGCTTGTCTCAGGGTTGCCCCAGTGAGGGCTGGGGAGACCTGGGTTAGGAGGATGGGGGGGGGTTGCAGGGAGGAGACAACAGTCAAAGCGGAGTTGCAGGGGCAGCAGGGGAGAATGTGACTCCCCAGGCGACACAGTGAGGGGCAGTGGTATGGAGTACAGGGATCCTGGAGGTGTCGCCCACCATCCAGGGGACTCCTTCCAAAAAAAGCTCTCTGTTCTGTGGGATGGCCTGGGGCCAGCCTACTTCTTGAACATCAGAGCTGGGGGACTTCTAGGCTTTGTAGTGTCACTCTCTTGCTTAACTCGTGGGGAAACTGAGGCTGGAGATGAGAAGTCCTTGCCCCAGGTGACACGGTACATCTCCAGAATGCTAGGCCTGTGTCCTTCCTGTCAGAGTATTTTCTGTGCTACATCTGGCAGCCTGGTGGGATTGCAGCACCTGGTGTGGGTGGGAGGAAAGAGGAAGGAAAGGGAACAGGGCTCACAGCACCCAGTTAGTGGGCAGTGCTGCTGGGGGTCACTGGGGTGCTTCCCCACATGCCCCAGGACATACCTTGGAGCATCATTCAGAGCCATCCCTGTCCTGCCTCTGCCCTCTGGGTCCCCTGGGTGCAGCTCCTGGGTGTGATGCAGTGACATCAGAGACGGTCAAAGTTTGGGGCTCAGTGTGGGCAGGGCACAGAGGCCTGCTCCCCAGCAGCTGCGGAGGAAGCATCTGCCCCCCGTGGTTGCTACCTAGGACTGACTGATAGGGCTTTCCAAAGTGGCTTTTCATACAGGGCAAATCGAAAGGTTCTGGGTGACAGAAGCTGGCCTGGCTGGTCTTGGGGAAGTAGTCCCCTGCAGGCTTTGGGATTCACAGTAAATTTAGTGCACTTGTGGCCAATACAAGGCTGCTCACTCCAAAGGCTGCTCACTCTCAGAAGAGAAAAGCCAGGGGAACACCAAGGACTCTATGGGACCTAGGCCTCCACAGACCCCCAGGCTGTGAAGAGCCCCGGGCCCCTGCCTCCCACAGCCTGTTGGGGCAGCAATGTCAGTAACACTGTTTGTCAACACACACAAGACAAAGACCCCAAGAGCCCCCTGGCCAGGGGACATGCAGCCCCTGGGAGCAGCGCAGGGGAGGCAGCGTGGCCGGCAGGGGGCGCTGCAGGTGGCTCACTGTACGCGGCGACAGTAGTAGCCCAGGACCTTGCACTTCTCACAGAGGTGCTGTGGGTGCTCCTTGCTCTGGTCAGACACGTCCAGGCCATCGGGCTTCTCCAGGGGTCTCTGCAGAGAGCGGGAGGAAAGGGCCCCAGAAGGGTGCAGAGACAGAGAAATACAGAGACACACAGGGAGAGTGAGACAGATGCAGAGAGAGGCCCAGAGACGGGGGAAAAGACGCAGAGAGATGGACGGACAGGTACAGATAGAGTGACAGAGACAGACACAGAGATACACAGGGAGAGGCTCAGACCAAGAGTAGAGACACATATTCACAGAAACAGACAGACACATACAGAGATACACACAGGGATGGGGGTGGGGGAGGTGGGGGGGAGGGAGGAAGCGGGGTGGGGGAGAGAGAGCGCCTGTAGTCACACAGGCAGTCCAGCCCAGGTGCTCACCACCTTCCTGCCCGCCTCTTGCCTGTCTGCAGGGTTCTGTGGCTGGGCTGGGGCTGGAGCATGCAGGGCAGGGGGTGTCTCATACCTGGACCCCTGGGTATATATGCCACTTTGATCTCCCACCAGTGCCACCACCTGAAGCTCACACAAGTCCAGGATCAAGGCACAAGAGGGGTACACAGACATATCCAGATGAGGAAACCATGTCCAGAGCGAGGGACACCCCACCCACATCTCTTGAATCCCAGCATCCAGCATGTCTTCCTTGGCCACGAGCCACTCCCACACCTGCTCAAGTGGCCTTAGGAGTCAAGGAGAGATTCATCTGAACACAACCACAGCTTCTGGCTCAGCTCAGTGAGCCTTAGCTGTATGAAGACAGCATCTGGGGCTTGGACTCACCCCACAGCCCAGAGCCAGCCCTGTTCATGACATGACTGTGGACCTGCACTGTTTTTAACAGGGAAACTGAGGCCCAGAGAAGGGAGGTGACTTGAAGACTGCAGGGAGCCTCAGTTTCTTCATCTGTAAAGTGGGCTACCCACAGCACTACCCATGGGTCTGGGGAGGGTCCCGGAGACCTCCGGCTATTGGTAAACTGGGCAGCGTTAAGCACATTTGTGATAGTCTGGGAGCTCCCCTGTTCCCTTGTTCCCTCCCCCCGGCCCCCAAGAGCCAGCAGAGGCTTGTCTCCCTGGAAACATCCTGGAGGCCCCTAGCAGCACCCCAGCAGACAGCTTCTTGGCTCATTCACAGAGATGTTGCTTTTCCTCCAGGGTAGCCCCTGCCCAGACCCTGCAGAAGGGTCCCTTGAGTGGACTCAGAGGAAGCTAGTCAGGGCCAGCTGGGGCCACACACCAAGGAGAGGGGCCAGGAACTGCAGGCTAGTGTGTGGGGAGGGACCCTTGGATGCAGTGATACCCATAAAGAGCTCTGCGAAACTTAGTAATTGCTGTGTGGCCATAAGAAAGTTACTTTAACCTCTCTGTGCCTCAATCCTCTCTTCCATAAAACAGGGCATAAGAACATCTACTTTTGATAGGGTTGTTGTGAGGGGTACATAAGGTATGTAAAGTGATTAGAATGGTGCCTGTATATGGAGAGCATTTGAAATGTTGGCCAGTACTAATACCATGTATTATCATTAGTATTATGTAGGATTAGGGGCAGGCTGGGGGCAGGGGAACGGGAGAGTCCCTGGCCAGCCCCAGCCCTCAGCTCATCGGACCTGTGCTCCTCCTTCCTTGGCCATGACCTGCTGGTGCTGCTTCCCTGCGTGGGCCCTGGCCTGGCTGCCCAGCCCTGGCCTGCTTGCCAGTGGGCGCTTGGGGAGCCGTCAGGATGACTCCCTTCGAGGGAGGGGAAAACATGCAGCAGCTGGGACTGACCTGTGCAGTCGCCCCACCCCTGCGGGAGGCAGGCCCATTAGTGTTTTCTTCTCCTGGGGGGGCAGGGTCTGCAGGGGCAGCCACAGCTGGAGCCTGACAGGAAACAGATGTGGCTGGGGCGGGTGGCGCAGGGTTCTCAGGGACTGTGGCATGATCAGGGCGGGGGCGGATTGGGAGAAATCCACCACAACCCTCCACTGGGGGCAGAGGGAGGAGCTCTGCCCTGTCCTCAGCTCACCAAAGGCTCTGAAGGACAATGGAGGGGTGCTATCCCAGAGCCTCCTCCCGGCTTGTGACATACTGAGAGAGAAGCACAAAGGCCCAGGAGAGTAGACCAGGGAGACAGAACTGGGTCCAGGACCCTCCATGCTGTCTGGGTGCCCTGCTCAAGGCCCATCTCCTCTCCGGATCTCAGTCTTCCCACGCACACAGTAGGTGCTCCACAAACACTGGCTGAGTGACTGAGAGAGGGCAGGGGGAGGCCCAGGCCCTGGAGAGATCCTTCCAGACTGGGCTCTTGAAGGCTCCAATCCCGTGGATGGAGATGGAGGTGGGGTGGTCACTCAGGCTGTGCTTGGCCGTGCGGGCAAGATGGAGGTGATGGGCAGGCCCAGGGATGGTGGGAAGGGCAGAGGCCAGCAGGATACAGGGCAGCGACTGAGGAGACAGAGCCAATGCTGGGAGCCAGGTCCCACCTGCTGCACACCTGATAAGCTGGGCCTGGCTTGATCCCATCTCCCATCCCCAGCCAGCCAGGGTGGTCTGCTCTCCCTGCTTCCCTCACTACACCCAGGTCCCATCTACCTTGCCAAGTCCCCTGACTTGTTCCCTCTTCATGAATCCCAGCTTCTCTCCTGATCCTGGGTAAGTCACTTACTCCCCCATGCCTCAGTTTCCCCCTCTGTGAAATGGGGAAACAAGTCCTACCCCATGGGGTGTCTGAGAAAGAACAGATAGAAAGTCTTAGAGGGTACCTGGGAGTCAGCAAACACAGCACACCCAGGTCCTCGGTGACAGAACTGGGATGGAAATCGAGGCCCATCTGGCCTGGGGAGGGGGCGGAGGCACTGTTCCCAAACATATTGGTGATTTCAACTCAGAAGTACCATCTCCCACCTGGGGGACCCTTCCTAGACCAATCTCTGCACACCCCCTGGGTTAATCGTCTTAAAATGAAGTCGAAAGTCCTGTTGTTCTTGGGGTCCTTTACGTATCCGCCCCAGACTCTGATGACCTTCCCATTTAGCTCCCACCCTGTTCCTCTCCATCTGCTCCTTCACCCAGATGTAGGTTTTGAGCACCCCAAGTCCTTAGAGCCTCAAGCATTTGCTCCTACAGAGCTCTTCCTAGGATGTACCCCCCACTTATGACAGGCCTAACTCCCCCTCCTTTTGATCCCCAGGTACAGAACACCTCCTCTGAGTAGCTATCTCTTTGAGGTCTGCCTTAGTAGGGCCCCTCAACCCCTTCCCACCCCATTCACACGTGTGCACTGGATGAGTAGAGGAGGGGACCCTCCTGCTGCAGCACCCTGCTGGCCCCCTGACGGTTCGGCTCAGGGCAGCACCCCTATTCATTACTCCCATTCATTAGTTTTAAAATTCACCTGGGGCCTCAGCTCTCAGGATCTTGCTGAAGTTGCCCCTTTATCATATTCCTGTCCTGGGGAAGCAGCCGTCCCTCCCCCTTCACCCCATTTCTGGTGAAACAAGGGAAGAATGGACGATCTGGCCTCATCCTCACTGTACAAGTACCAAAAGGAGGACCAATAATGGAAGAGTCCCCCTCCACTGTCCTTCAGAGCATGCCCCACCCTCTGTGGGCCGGCCGCCCCGCCCCGCCCATCAGGCAGCTGGCTCACCTGCTTGTGCGGGTACACGTTGATGTGGCACTTGATGCACTCCTGTCCCATGTTGGCCCAGGAGTTTCCGCTCATCCATTTTCTTTTGCACTTGGGACACTTGTACTCGCCAAAGCAGCGCTTTTTGCCCTGGTATGGTGTCAGACCCTCGCCTTTGGGGCGTGCCTAGAGGACAAGAAGCAAACATAGGGGATTAGGATCCATGGGTCCACAAATCCCCACAGGGTCCCATGGCCTCTGCTTCAGCCTGCATATTCTGTGTCTGTGTGTGCAGACACCTTTTGTCCCCAATCCAGAGATTGCAAGGTCACCTCCAGAGCACCAGGAATCGCAAGCCTGGGAGACAACTCCATGCACACAGCGGAGAACAGAGGACAGGGTGTGGAGGAGTAGAGTACTAAGGGAAGGCCAGGAGTTACTTTTTTTTTCTGGGGCTGAGGATTGAACCCAGCATCTACTGCATGCTAAGCGAGTGCTTACTCTACCACTGAGCTACACCCCATCCCATTAACAATCTTAATCATAGTATCTCCTCTTTAATGTCATTTTGCTTTCCTCGCTTTCAGTTACTTATGGTCAATATTAAATGGAAAATTCCAGAAACCAATAAGTGTTAAATTGCACATTGTTCTGAGTGGCATGATGAAATATCCCTCTGTCCTACCCTAGACATGAATCATTCCTTTGTCCAGTGTATCCATGCTGTATATGCTACCTACCATTTATCACTTAGTAGCCATCTTGGTTATCTGGCTGACTGCTGAGGGTATGAAAGTGACTGTTCAGGAAACCCTTATTTTACCTAGTAATGGTCCCAAAGTGCAAGAGTAGTGAAACCAGCAATTCAGATATGTCAAAGAAAAGCCAAAAAGTACTTCCTTTAAATGAAAAGATGGAAGTTCTCAATAAGAAAAGAAAAAAAAAACAGTAGGCTGAGGTTGCTAAGATCTTTGGTAAGAACAGATCCTCTGACCATTGAACTGTGAAAAAAAACCAAAAAAAGAAAGAAAGAAAGGAACTCATGCTAGTTTTGCTGTCACAACTCAAATTACAAAAGTTCGGGTCAGAGTGCCCTAAATTTGCTTAGTTAAGATGGAAAAGACATTAAATTATAGGATCTGGTGCTGTCCGTGGAATCCACTGAGGCCCTGAAACGTATCTCCCTTGGTAAGGGGAAGTCTGGGGGGACTATGGTATTGATGATCTCAAAGGTAGAAAATCTTCTCAGAGTTGCCTTGACTAGTACATCTTTTATTATGAGCAAGAGGGATTTTTAAAGTGTATTTAAGAACTATCAGACAAAAATGGGAATAACGGGGGATTGAGCCTGATGTAACTTCCCTATGATGCATATGAATATACCACAGTGAATCTCACCTTTATGCGCATCCACAAGGCACTAATTTAAAAAACCTATAAATATATAGCAGAAAAATCAGTAGTAGAGAGAAGTAACAGGGGGGAGGGAAAGGGGAAGTATAGGGGACCAAATTAGAGCGAATCATATTCCATGCTTGTATAATCATGTTAAAACTTACCCGAATGTTATGTATAACTAAAAGAAACTAATTAGAAAGAGAAAAAAGAAGCAGAAAAATTTTCCTTCGTGAACTGTTTGTTCATATTCTCTGTGTTTTTTTTCCTGCTGGGGTTTGCTGATTTGTAACTGCACTTTACATACTAAAGAAGCCAGTTCTCTTCTACATGTTTTTAAAAATGGCTCTATTGAAATGGGATTCACATTTCCTACATTTCACCCATTTAAAGTGGACAATTTGCTGCTTTTTAGTATATTCACAGAGTTGTACAACCTTCACCACAATCTAATTTTAGAACACTTTTGTCAAATCCCCCAAAGTAGGCCTGAATCCACTGATGGTTACTCTCTATCCAATCCCCTTCTCCCCACACACCCAGCCCTATCTCCTGGATTTCCCTATTTTAGATATTTCATCTGAGTGGAAACATACAATATTTGTCCCTGTGTCTCTGACTCCTCTCGCTTACTGTTTAAAGGTGCCTCTGTGTTAAAGTACACGTCAATACTTCATTCCTTGGTGCCAATTCCTGTTCCACTGTACAACGATGCTGCTTCATTTACCCACTCATCAGATGATAGACATTTGGACTGTCTCTGATTTGGGGCTATTATAAATAAAACTGCTCTGAACACTCGATTCTGCACTGCAGTATTTTACAAAGTTGGCTTGGTTACCCCCTGTTTAGAAATAGGAGATTTCGCATAGAAACAAGACCACACTGGTCTAGAACTCTTGCTGGATGAGGGCCGAGGAGTGGATGACCATTGGATGGCTCAGGTGCATCCTCCGTGTTCCCTTTCACCAGCGGCAACCTCTATTTATCTTGCCTGCTTGGCCCTTGAAGGCTCTGAGTTTAGGACAGGTTTCAACATAGGCTCTGCACTGTGAACAAGCGTGGTCCCCAGAGGGTAGCAACAGCATCCCTTCATAGTCTGTTAGAAATGAAGACTCTCAAGCCCCGCCCCCTCAGATCCATGGAATCAGAACCCGCATTTTGACAAGAGCCCCAGAGAATTGCCTTGCCATTAAGTTTAAGAAGCCCTGGGCCACAAGTTGACCTGTGTCCATAGTAGTTTCCCTGAGTAGTTGCCCAAATTCTAAATAGTACGTTGTGGTTAAGAGCACAGACTGGATCCAAACCCAAGCTCTGTGATCCTGGGAAAGTTACTTAATAAGGATAAGCATTGTGACGATCACCAAAGACTTTTCTGAGGATTGAATGAGATACTACAGACTCTAAGAACAGTGCCAGGTAGGCTGAAGGTAAAACGGAAGCATTAGCACCGTGATTATTGTGTATTAATATAGAACAACAGTGGTATATAAAATAATAACTTCTTCCTCTGGAAATCATGTTTTTGAAATTTCTCTCTCTCTCTCTCTCTCTCTCTCTCTCTATATATATATATATATATATATATATATATATATATTTAAAATATATATATATATATTTTAAATTTCAGGAGCCACGGTACCACTTGTGATGGCCTACTAGGATTTCACACAAAATACTGAAGAGGGATATATGTGCTGAGTATGTAAATCTAAACTTAGAAAGTGACAGCAACACTGCCCTGATTTGGCTCCTCTGCCTTCTGCCTCTGGGATCCTCTCTGGACCTCGTGGCAGCTGGGCTACCCTGGGGAGAAGGCTCAGTCTGCAGTCAGGCTGCTGGGTTTGTGGTAGAGGGGTTAACCTGGGTCTCTGGTGGCACCTTGATCTCTGTAGCTCTCAGGTCAGTGGGTGTCCTTCTGAGCTTCCCAGGGCCACCTTCTCCACTGGGGCCTGGTACCCACAGCTCTGAGAACTCCAGTTTCTGCAGCCTCCCTTCTCCTGCCATTCTGCAGTAAGACACCTTGTCGGCTGGCTCTCCTCTCTGCTCCTAGAAGCACTTACATATTAAGGAGGACAAGGGAACAGGGGTGTCTGAGACTCCTTGATGAAGATGGGAATTCGGGGCATGTCCCCAGCCAGGCCTGCTTCTGCAGGAATCTGTTCTGTGGGCCTCCTGACTCACAGAGCCGACAGGACCTGGCACCTGGCCTCACACAGTCAGGGCGAAGGGAAAGAGTTAAGGTACCAGAGGAGAGAGGTCAGGTCACCTAGGACACTCAGCAGAGCAAAGCATGAAGACTGGGGCAGGATTAGAGAGAGAGACTCCATCAAATTTTAGCCCCGCAGAGTTTCTGCTTCAGAAATGAATGGGAAAGAAACCACACAGATAATGGGGTGCAGAGTGTGGACCAAGGGAGAAGCAGGCCTCACTTCTGACTTAGATAAGCACCTCTTCCAGTAGGCAGGTAGAGGGCTCTTGGCCTCGCGCAGGCCCAGGTATCCTTGGCCTGCTGCTCCCATGACCATCAGGCCAGGCCCTGGGAGGACCCTGCACTGACACCCCATCACTCTGGATGTGTCTCAGATCCTGGACTCCAGGGCCGGATGCCAATGTCACCAGCTGGCTCCACATGTGACTATGTTGGGAGGATATTCTGCAAGTCACTCAACATCTCTGTGCCTCGGTTTCCTCATCTAGAAACTGGATGATGATGGAGAGCCTGCCTCCCGAGTGGCATGTGACGATCTCAGCTCAGAGTCCTGGCACACCGCAGGGCCTGGCCACATGGACTCTTTCAGTCCCACTCCCTTGGCGGCACAGGGGGAGCTGAGGCTTTGCAGATGATGCAGAAGCCAGGACCAAGATCTGCGGACTTCATCCTAAGAGGAAGTTTCCAGAGACAGGAAGGACACCTGGGTAGCAGGTGAGCTGTCTATCCCAGGGTTGGAGGGGTAGCATTAGGTGTCTTCACCTTCTGGAATTCTCGTGGAAGAACCAAGAAAGAGGAAGCTTGGAGATGTGCTGGCAGAGGACAAGGAAAGAGGGAAAGAGACTGAATTTGTGGGGCTCCCTGACCACCAGTGCCATGCAGCTCTTTCCAGAGCACTGGGGGACAGGGAACAGTGTCGACTGCCTTGACAGCTGGTGACACTGAGGCACAGGGCAGGGGCAGGGCTTGCCTACAAACAACCTTATTGGGAGAGGTAAGGCTCTTCCACCTGGCTTGCCCCTTCTGTCAAACCCCCACACGTGTGTCCCCTGTGCAATGAAGCCACAGCCTGCTCTTGGGAGGAAAGATCTCCAGGCAGGAATTTTGGAGAAAATTCCTAGGGCCTCTAGCGCAGCCCAGGCCAGGGTTGGGCCTTGGCCTTGCCTGCTGCAGGACAGAGGAGTAGATGGCCCACTAGGCAAGGAGGAAGAGGCAGTAGATAAGGGAAGACAGGCCAGTCAGTGCACAGTGGGCAGCAGTGAGGAGCCACTTCCTGGAAGGGCCCCTCCTGACATTGTTTATGCTCCCAGTGAGGCAGGGCCAAAGACAGAAGGCATTTTTAGCAGAACAAAGGCTGTTCTGCCCCAACTCCCTCCCCTTGCCTTCTTCCAGAAAGACATGACCTCTCATAAACTTCAGCAAGAAACATACAGTCCTGGCTCTGCAGGGGCCCCCACTGGGGTGGCCTGGACCTAGGGCAAGTTGTCAGGACCTAGGTCCCTGCTATATCCCCCCTGCCCTGAGAATCACTCTGCCAGGAACTCGGCACAGCTCACTGGGGCTTGGAAATCACCCC